TCAACCATAAACTTTAATCAGAGTGGAACTGAATTGAATACTTTATTTTTGAAATAAACCGTATATCCATGGATAAAAATATGTGTATAAAACAGACAACATCAGAATACAAACTCCCACTAGATTGGCATATCATCAAAAGATGCAACACATATGTGAGTATTATGCTCATGAAAAACCTTGGGTGGTAGCCATTTAATAAATGGATCCATGGTTATGGAGTTAATATAATTTATAGAAACCTGACTACTCTAAATTCTTTTTTTTTTTTTTGTTATAACTAGGAACTTAATATCTATAAACTTTGATATCATCAGGCTCCTGTTGAAATCATCCAAAATATATAGTCTAGTGACAATATTTTATAGTCAAATTCCATGATCAGAATTAGAATATTAACGATCTCCAATTGGTTTTATTTTCTTGAATGTGATCATGTAATCTTTATTTCTATGTAGACACCGAATAACCTAATGGTGTTTTCCAACTTTGCATCTCAGAGTTACTTAAATATCTGCCCTACATTCCAACAATGAATGCTATATCCGGATGTGTACAAACCTAAGTATACATTACATTTCCAACTGCTGAAACACATGGAATTTTTTATATTTTCCTTTATTTAAACTTATCATTGGAGTATTAATTGAGACTAACTTGTCTCTCTTAGCAATAAGGGTATTACCTGATTTACATATGAGGTACAACTCTTTTATGATAATAGAAAAAAATACACCGAGAACGATTTATATGTATCTATATCCTTAATACAGAAGAGGGGTCGCCAAAACTTTTCATATCAAAATTTCATGACAGAAATCTTTTGGTTTCGTGCAATAAGTTTATATAATTGTATGCTAGTATGTCATCGACATACAATACCAAAAAAATATGCTTACTCTAATTGAACTTGTGATATAAACAATTATCAACTGAATTCATCTCAAAACCAAATGAGATAATTATTTGATGAAAATTTTGATACCATTACGGGAAACCAGCTTAAGCCCATAGATGAATTTCTTTCATTTGTACACCATCTAATGTAACTTAAGATCAAAATATGTCACANTCTTTAATTTGTAAATCATCTGACGTAGTTTAAGATCAAAATGTGTCACAAATGCCATAATAGTCATAAAAGAGTCTTTCATAGAAACTTGATAAAAAGTCTCTTTTATGCCAATTTTTTCTTTTTGAGTAGAGTCATTTGCAACAAGACAAGTCTCATATCTCTCCACATCATCCTTCGAATCCCTTTTTATTTTAAATATTCAGTTACAACAAATGAGTTTCGTACCTTCAGACAGTGGGATGATTTCACAAACGTCATTATTACTTATGAAATTTATCTCTTTATGCATGACATCAATCCACTCTTGAGAATTATTTATTTACATGGCTTGATGAAAGTTGATTGATCAGATATTTTTCTATCAATCCATGTCATCCTTATTTTTTTGGAGAAATACTATAAAGTCATTCAGAATTGCTTCTCATTTTTATAGTGGATTTCCTTAATGACATTGGTTCTTAAAGTTGTTGAGTTTATTTTTCAGGAATAATTTCTTGATTGTGTATAGGGAATTTTGTAATATTTTTTTTTTATCCTAAATTGCTTCTTGAACAAAATTTAGAGCAAAAAATTGTCAACGATCCTGATCATTGCCAATTGTAACAGAAGAAATATATACATATTCTTCATCAAAGACAAAATCCTTAACCTTATAACCTTATTTTCCCTTGCAAACTCTACATCCTCGAGGAATCGGACATTTACCATTTCAAAAATCGACCTAATAGAGGGATCTTTAAAAATTTGTAACCCCTTAATAGTTGCTTTACTTGAAACTTTATTAAGAATTTAAGATGCGGTATTTAATGCTTCTTCCTATAGAGATTCTGGTAAGGTGAAATGACTAATTATACTCCTTACCAAGTCTTTAATTTTTTTATTTCGACTTTCAGTAACACCATTCAAGCCAGAGGACCCTGACATGGTGTACTATGTGACGATTTCGCATTCCTCTAGAAATTTTAGCAGAAGACCTTGTACACTATTTTCTTGATCCGTCATATCTGTATCCACTACGGCCAGATCTAACATGTTTTATTCTTTTGTTGAGTTGATTTTCAATCCCAGCCTTGTATGCCTTGAATATGTCCAGTATTTGAGATTTCTTATAGATGAGATATAGATAGCCATAGTGAGAAAAAATCGTGTATGAACATATTAAATTATTGTTGACCCTTCCAAGAAGCCGAAGTGAATGACCCACAGATATCCATATGAATTAGTTTTAAGACGTTCGAAATTCAATTGGCACCTAATCTCCTTATGTTTATTATTTGGGTAATTGGCGCAAAACTTCCCTACCTTTGCCGGTTTGTGTGGAAAACATCCCTACCTTTCATTTTTTGGCGCAGAACGTCCCTACCTTTCACTTTTCTTGCGCAAAACATCCTTTTCTCTAATTTTTGACATAAAATGACTGATATACCCTCC